TCCTGCGGAGAAGTTCGACTAGAGACCGATGAGGTTTGACTCCTACTGCCTTGCGGAAGTCGCTTTTCGACCTTAAACCCTTTTCTAGCAGATATTTTTTTATGTGGTCGATTGTACGGATTTCAACCGCTTCCTTAGTGAATCTGTCGATGTAATCATGAAGAAGTTCGTCCTTGCCTTGGATGATACCCTCAAGCGTAGCTTCGGATTTCGGGTGGCGCTTGGAGGTAGTAAAGTGTCGGGCAAATTGCTCCTTAAGACTCCTCTATGACGTGATCGAGCCCCGATGAAGGCTTTTATACCAAGTCATAACCCCTTTCATGAGGGTGAGGGGGAATAGTCTGCATTTGATTTCACTAGTGACATTGTGGTAGTGCATCGTGGCCTCAATTTTTCTATGTGGTCATCAGGGTCGGTGGTACCATCATAGAGAGGTAGAGAGGGAAGTTTCTCCAGCACGCACAGAATGCGGGTGTTCATGAACGAATAACTGCGTCCCCGACTCCTACTGCGTCGAGGAGAACATTCATGTCGGCTTCGATGCTCTTCACGTGGCTTTCCAGAAGCCTTGGTCCTTTCGGATGCTGGGGAGTGTCTGGACCTCCGGGGAGGGGTACGGCCGCATTTTCTGATGATCTCTTTCCCATGCTTCTTCAATCTAGACCGTTCTTTGGCAGACAAGACGCTTCTAGATTCGTCTCGGCGATGCTTCTGAAAGGGGGAACGAGATCGAAGAGACAGGATGAGGGATCCCCGCGAGGGAGGTCTTTCTCCGATGGTATTCTCCAACATGTGGATTTTTTCTCCTTGTTGGAAAAGCATATAGTTGGATTTCTTGAGGGCGGCGATAAGGTCTGCGGTGCAGGGGTCAACATCTTATAGGATGGTGATAAATTCGTATACATGGTCAGAACTTTGGACAGGAGGCTTCACGTTGTCAGGAGATGTCGATTTTCTGTCCCTGTGATCAGTTTCTCCGGTAGCAGCTCCGGGGATGGAGGTTTCTCCGCAACCCAGAATGGCAGCGATGGAATCTTGATGGACGTTATTATGGTGGAAGGCCATGACGATGAAGGTTTAGAGAGGTAGCTTTGGTCTTTTGTTTGGAAAGTTCAAAAAGACGATGGAGCTGGAGTTCCCACAGATGGCACCACTGATCTGGAGTGATCAGAATGGATCGTCTTGACCTTCAATGTAGGACAATAACAATGGTTGTAGGAGAAGATGAGGTTGTACCTGCAAGGTAGTCTAATGCCAAAGTAAGTGTTTGGACTAAAGAGAAAAAGTAAGTACGAGTGTTTAGGTATGAGCAAGAATGATTAGAATACATGACCCTCTCAAGAGAGAGGGTACTTATAAGATTTCCCCCAATGCGGGGCCATGGTCTCCCACGTAACCGAAATATCTGATCAATTAGGGACTGCCAGGTGGAAGATCTAGCGTGTGATCTTTGACCTGGTCCAACTTCCTCCGTGACTTTCAGAGGGGCAGTTGATCGCGTGAACTGTCAAGTGCGTGGGGGACATGTCCCCAACGAATATGTGCTCCAACAGCTATATTGTGCTCAACGGCTATATTATGCTTAACGACTATGTTGTGTCCAATGGCTATATTGTTTCCCATGGTCTATATTAGGTATGACCTTAAGCTTAGACTGGATTGAGCCTTACCTAACTGTGGGGCAGGTGTCAGTTCAGTCCAAAACACAACTTGTATATTTTTTACTAAACCTTTGTCTAAAGAAATTGTATTTTCCATGAGAAATGAATTAGGAATTTTAAACCAAACATACGTTGAATAAATGTGCGCTCCATAATCGCTTTTAAAGTTGCATTGATTTTGAATATGTAGATCTATTGGGTGATTTTATTCTATCCCACATTTTAAGGATTAAATATATTCGTAGTCCTTCCAAATATCTCATAATTCACTTTTAGTCCCTAAAAAATTTTTTTTAAAGAATAATCCTCATAATATTTTTCATTAACATTTTTGGTCCTTTCTGCTCACATCCATTGAAAGAAAGTGGCGTGATATGACACGTGACAATGTCAACATGACAAAGATGTTGACATGGATGCCATGTGGCATTTTTGTTACCAATTTATATTATTTATATCAATTAATTTTTTTAAAGAAAGTTTATCACATTATAAAGATCTCTCTAACAAAAATTTATTTTGTTTTTACTTGATATGATTTTAATATGAATTTTTTAAAAGTTGATTTTCTATGAACTAGAAACAAAAAAAAACATTAGCATATCATTGAATTTTGAGCTATTATTTTGCTATTATTTAGAAAAATCAAAATAAATTAAGACTAATTTGAAATGTCATGAAACTTTGCAGATAGTTTTTATATGTTATTATATAATTCGTCGCAAAAGATTTGCTCAAAACTCAATCATATGCCAATGTTGCGTTGTTTCCGTTTCATGAAAATCGACGCTTAAAAAATTCTTATTTAGTTCATGCAAAAAAAATCTATTTTCATGGGAGAGATCCTTATAATTTTATACACTAACATGAAAAAAAAAGTTAAAGTATGTCATCTTTTTTACGACCAATAGGGTTAAATTTCTCATTCCGTCTATTGAAAAAAAAACACATTTACATGTATTTCGATCGGAAAATCAAAATAAATTGACACTTATTCGAAATACCATGAAAATTTGTAGATCTATGTATTATGATATAAGTTCCTGCATAAGATTAGCGGAAAATTCAATCACAGGCAAAAGTTTGCGTTATTTTTGTTTCATAGAAAATTGGTGTTTAAGAAATTCATATTTAATTCATCTCAAGTATAAAAAAATTAAAATTTTGTGAGAGAGATTCTTATAATATGATAAACTTTCTTGCAAAGAATCATGAAAAAAAACGACGTTTAGGTCATAAGAATGATGTGTTTGAATTAACTAGGGATTAACTATGGTTTTTGATTTTTTTTATGTTGTTCATATTAGCAAAATTAAGGGGCTATTCTTTAGCTCACTAAAAAACTCCATTGTTTTTTTATAAGCAACGAAGTCATGTTTCGGTATACTCTTAGGAGTACACCAATTTGAATAAACGGTTCTAACGATTACACGTGTGTTCAACCTTTACAACCTATAATCCCACAACCGTATCCCACAACCGTTGAAGATGATTTGGTTACGAGTCTACCATATAGTCCAACAAGTCACCAACCAAATAAATGAAGCAGAAGATTTGGACCATACAAAAAATGTGATTGATATTTTCCGTAACATTAAAATAAAAGACACAGACAATATTACGAAGATTAGAGATTATTCTTTTAGCTGTCAAATTTGCTCTTGTTGAAAGCCTATCCCAAATTATATTTTCCTAACTTTTACTTTGATATATTTTGTCTTTAATAGGTTTCTCATCATAAAATATATGTTTATCATCATAAAATAATCAAGAAAAATATAAATATGAATATATATACGTGCTTTAACATGGTAATTTTGAGAATCAACATAGAAAAATTTATTTATTTTAATCATTGTTAGAGAAATACAAAATTAAAAAAAAATGATCAAAATGATCCCGTGCTTTCAAAGGATATTTGCAGGAAATTTATTCCTTTTCTTTAGGATATTTTTTTTATAACATCTTTAGGATCATTTTTAGTCAATAGAAAATGTTTTAATAGTAAAATATAAACATACACGAAAATATTTTCTATGATAAGTTTTAAAAAGCTCTCTTTAAAAGAGAGTTTTGAGGTAACTACTTTTATCGGTCAATAATAGATTATGCCTATTTAATATTGTTTATAATTGTAAACATTAATTGGATTTTGAAAAATTCAGAATCAATTTTAGAGAAATAAAATTGATTTTGAGTGATTTTGAGGTATATGTTTTATCAAAAGTATAATTGATTTTATCTCTAGAATTAATTCTATTTAAAACTAAAATTTGTAACTTCTATTTCTAAAATTAATTCTGAGTGATTTTTATATTGAAATTTATTGTTTAATTCATTTTTAGATAAATATATCTAAATGTAAATTAATGTTGTTAAACTCAATTATTTTAAAATCAATTATACCAAACTCAATTATGCTAAAATCAATTCTGTTTACTATCAATTCAAACACACCTTAAGATGGTTACATACTCAATTGTATATGATTGTAAACATGCCCCATAATCAATTATGGCCTCAAAATAATTAATTTTACCTCATGTTTTAGCTAAATAATGATTATGGCTGAATAATAATTATAATGTATAATCGATTATGACGCGTATTAGATATAATGTTTCCAAAAATACTTTTAGATGATTGATTATGGTGGCCCAATATTTGATTATGGATACAATTATGGGCTAAAATTCTGATTATAGTTTAATTGGATAATTATGTCACCTTATTTAAACAAAGGGGAGGGTTTTTTCTAAACACACCAATTTGACTGAAATAATCTCTAACACACATTTTCTTTATCTAATACTCTCCTTCTATTATTTTTATTCATTTAGTTTATTTTACTATTGAAAATGCTCTTATTATATAATTACTATACTTAGTAAGACTCTAAATTAATTCATCGCATTAAAGTCATTAGATAACATAGTTAACCTGTATTTATAAGCCCAAAAAAAACTATATGGGAATGGATACCCTCCCATCAAAATTCCAATTCACATTATATTAAGCTTCCAATTCATTAGATATATAAACATGTTTTCAAAATGAAGAAAAAAAATCCACTTTAATCATATCTTTTTGCATTTTGGTAGTGATACATTTATATTCCTATCTTTGACTGTTAATCCAGCTTATAAAAGAAGAATATATGAACAATTAACTCTTGTGATGAAGAGAAGAGTTGTGCCACCAATACATCAAAAGAGTCCAATTCATAAGCTAAAATACTTGAGATTGAGATGATGCTAACAAATTTCACCATTGGCCATACAATGTTCTTTCAAGCATCCTTTTAGAGGTTGGAACTACTCCAATCTTATGATCCATGAATCATATATCTATATACACACAAAAAAATATGACTTTAGATTACTCATTAGGAGATAACTTGTAATGCAAGCAAGAAAAACTTCTTATAACACGGATCTATAAAGTACAAAAAAAGAAAAATACTCAGATATGATACTGACATGTTAACGTTAAGTGATTGATTTTATTTATATTTTTTTATGGATGAAGTACATCATTTACCTCTTCCAAACCTTGATTTACGAGCCGCACGTCGCACACCTTCATTCCAATATGCACCTTGATCATCCTTCTTTCCCTGCAAAATTTTCATGGTAATGAAAAAAATAAGATGTAACTTTTTGCATGCACATGTATGTGTATGGTTAAATCATGAAGAAATCATAGTTACCTGTGCATTCAATAGTTCCTTAGGATCAAAATCCATGGAAACCCTTTGTTTAGTTAAATCATATGTTTCTTTTGCAAAGTTAGGATCCAATGCACTAATTTTACTTCTTGATCCATCAGATAATATGGATGATGCCTCTTGTTTTCTTCTTTTTGTCCATGAATATTCATTAGATCCTCCTTTGATGTGGACCGGAACACTATAGCCATTGCCGTCGGCAACATTGTGCTTTTGAGAAGTCTCTAACATTGCATCCATTGAAGTCTTAGTGTGATCTTTTATCATAGATCCTGCTTTTCCCTTTGAAAAACTTGCTTTACCATCATCTTTTCTAGTATTTTGAGAAATATTCTGCGTGTTTCGATCGCAAAATGGTTAACATAAGTATATAGAAGTAGTAATCACTATGGTCTCATCTATAGGTTTTCTTGAAGTTGATTTACATATAAAAAGTAGTACCTCTTTTGAAGTTGATTTACCAAAATTGTTTTGTTCCTTATGGTGGCGTCTTTGTTGCCTTTTAGATGTTGCAGCCTCTCGCATTTTTTCCCCGGTCTTTTTCCTGAGAGAATTTTTAGAATTTTGTCATAAAACTTTGAAATGAAGTGGTCGGCTTTGTCAGAAGCCATATCGAGATAAACTACAACAACGACAATAACAAAGACTTATCTAATTTGGCGAGATCAACTATATTGGATCGAAATTTACCTTGATGTTTCTTCATAGCCTTTAGCATCCATTTCCTTGCTTGGTGTATACTTTGGCAAGTTTGATGGATTACAAGCATATGGCTTAGTGTTGAAATACTATAAAGACCATACCATGATACATTTAGTTAGAAATCAAACCTTATCAAATATACATTTGAACTAGATTGATCAAACAACATAATAAAAGAATCTACCTCAGATATTAGAGCGGAGGAGGCGGTTCCGCGGTTGTTAGGATCGATGGATAGTAAGGTTTCGAGTAACCCTACAGCCGATTCAGGAAAATCTGCACACTTTTCTCGAAGCGAGCTTTCGTAGTTAGCCTGAGGTTTGAACATTGTTGCATGAGGAAGTTTGGTCTTTTTCCAAAACTCTTCAGGTGGAGAACCACACAGCTTAAAAACTTTGTGTAATTGTTCAACCTTAACAATCAAGAAAAACACATCATGTTAAAATGCAAAAGTAGTTTTGTCAAAAAATGAATTGCGATAATTACCTCGGTTCTCCCTTTAAGAATAGGCTTGCCAAGAAAAAGTTCTGCAAAAACACATCCAACACTCCACAAATCAACCGAAACTCCGTAGTTAGTTGCTCCCATCAAGAGCTCAGGAGGACGATACCATAACGTTACTACGCGGCTCGTTAATTGATGCTTATTGTTGGGACTAATTGTGTTTGCCAATCCAAAATCACCTATCTTAAGAATACCTTCATTGTTCAACAAGATGTTCGATACTTTGATGTCTCTATGCATGATACCTCGAACATGACAATGTTCAAGTCCGCTTAATAGTTGTCTCATGTAACATTTTATCTGCGGAGATGAAAATTTTAAAAGAAAAATAAACATTGAATATGTAACTAGATTATATATGCGATGATAACGAACCTGTGAGTCTGTGAAAACAATATCGGGACGAGAAACTAGGCCAGCAAGATCATGTTCCATGTATTCGAACACAAGGTATATGCTATTTGACATTCTAGAAGTGATTATTCCTTCCAATTTCATTATGTTTGGATGGTCAAGCCTCCTTAGAAGTGTGATTTCTCTTGCCATGAATCTTATGCTCTCGGCTTGGTAATTATCAAACCTCACTTTTTTTAGAGCAAACATTCTTCCTGTTTCAACTTCGCGTGCTCGAAAAACGCTGCTATATGTACCTTGTCCAATCTATATATAAGAAGCCGTGTCACTGACTCTAAACACAGACACGTAGATACTGATAATACTTTGAATAATTAGAAGACGTTGAATGTAACTACACGCTAACACGTATCAGACACTCGACACATTTTCAATCGGCTTATGTTTGAAAAATCATGCAATTTTTAAGATATACGTAAGCATCGCTACGGTATAAATCATAGAATGCAAATAATACCTTATCCAACTTTTGAAAAGATTCGGCTTTGAGAGGGATCCAACCTTGAACAGCTTCGGCCGCAGAAGCCGTAAGCCATGGAGGCCAACCAGCAGCATTTTGTTCAGCTTCAACTTGCCTTTGAACAAACCCAATTCTAAAGCTGAATGCACCACTACTTTTCTTGGAGGCATTTTTATTAAACTTGCTATTCTTATTTTCCTCTAATGATGATTTTGAATCCAAAGGTAACAAACTAGAATGAACCTTTGATGAAGGAACAACCTCGGGGGTATCTGGTCCGATGGTTGGTGCCGGAGAACGAACTCCGGCGACGACGTGTTTGGAACTAATGCAACCCATTTAAGAAAATTGGATGATGGTGATTGTAGGGGAGAGCCCCTACATCAACACCCTCCAATGTGGTTGTTGAAGTCAGAATCAGAGGTAATTCACAGAAGAAGATGATGAGGACAAATTAAAAACAAGGGCATTTGAAAGTTCCGGAAAAATTATAGATTTCTTGTTGAACAAACAACCTTTTCCCCTGTTTTTTTTCTCTCTCCTCTTCCTCTGCTTTTCTCTCTCTTCCTCTGTTTTATATCTTTGTCTCTATTTTTGATTTAATGTTTCTTGTTTTTGTTTTTTTGGCAAATGGATATGTGTTAGATCCGTTGATAATTCAAAGGTGGAGGATTTTCAATACCGAAAAATAAGGAACAGAAACTCAATTGAAAATCCTATAAATAATTGAATAGTTGCAAAAATTATATTTTTTTCATGATCTTTAATAAAAGTTTGTGATTGAGTTTATCAAGGACTAAACCTTTAAATTATGAAAAGAAATTAAGAAAAAAAATATTAACGCCCTTTAAAAACTATTTTGAAAATATTAATCACATTTACCATTGAACAAAAAATGAATATATTATTGATTAAAATGATGAAATATCACTTAGTAGATTTTAATCCATTTTATTAAAAAAAATTGGATTGTTGGGGTACTAGTAAAAAAAAATGGAGTGTTTTATTTGAATACATTCTTCATTGTTCATTAATGATTCAAATTGATTAGAACTACTATTGTAAATCATAAGTTTACAAATAATGTTGAATTTATCTTTACTTCTATCAATTTGATTAGAGTAAAGCTTACATGAGAGAAATGAATGGGAGCAGCAGAGAAAGAAGATGAATAGTGTGTAGTGATTGTTGTGAGTTTTGTAACTCTAATACTTTCGAATCTTTGAGGCACAATTCCGGTTGCCGCACTATGTATATTTGGTCGCCAACTGCGTTTTCTTTGTAACTATCTTGATTTCGATGCCAAGTCCATAACGCATATGTAGAATTCACAACCTGCAATAGTATAACAAAATGATTGATATTATTATATACACAAGATGTAATGCGATTTGTGATTGACAATCGTGAAAATCGAAGCTTTAAATTTTAACGACTTTTACCTCAAGTATTCCGTGTCCGAAACTACTTTCTCTAAACGCGCTCCATTCAGGTTGTTTGTTCCAACAGAAGTTTCCTTTGGCAGGACCAAAGGAAAAATTTGAATGACAAACACCTCCGAATTCCGGTGTGTTATCTCCGGCCGAAGGACACTTTCCAGGTTCATCTGCATGATCAACATCTACTTTCTCGATATTTCCGCCATCTCCAACAGTTATGTAAATAGGTCCACAGGGATCCAATGTGTAGTTATAAACTCTATTCATCCTCTCATAAGCATGGACCTGCAAAGATATAAATAAATGTCGCCGTCAGAAATTGAACCCTAGACCAGTAGTTTCACCCGTTTAACTCAACCAGCTCGTACCAGTTTACAAAGTTTAATTATGTATTTTGCTCTCGCAAATATACTAATTTAACTTACATGTCCATTGAAAACAATGTCAACTTTGTATTGATAGAAAAGTGCTTCCATTTCTAATCTCATGCACTCAAACTCTTGATAGTGTGAAGCATAGCTGTTATACCAAGGAGGATGCATTGTAGCGACTAACCAAGGGGTTACGCTGCGGTTTACGCTCTGCAGATCTTGTTTCAGCCAAGAAAATTGTGCACCTAGATTGAAGATTCAGTGAAACACGTCAAGTTGGGAATAGTCTCGCAAAAACTTATACAAGCAGATAAGTTCAAATAAGTCGATTCAAACAGACATACATCATTTATTACTTACCGGTGCTATTGTAATCAACATATGCTCCTAACATGATAAAGTGTATGCCTTCGGCGTCAAAAGAGTAGTAGAAGTTACTTTTAGAACCACTTTCTTCGGAAGGAACTGCAAATCTTGATAAGTATGATTTGAATGTGATTCCGTCCGCTTGAGGTTCAATCTCATGATTCCCTTCAATAACCATCATTGGAATTTTTGAGGTCAAAGGCTCCATAAACCTAAGAGTTTAAAAATCGAATGAGCGAAACATTTGTGATACTATTTGGAAGTGTTTATGAAAATAGCTTATTACATGTTTATAAGTTGTTTTCCATTGATTTTCATGAGTTCGTTAAGTAGTTAATGAAAACAGCCAAATTAACTTGTTCATAAACACTTATAAGATAAAGCTTATTCTAAGTGTCTAATTAAGTTGTTTATCCAAACAAAACTTAATATTAGGTTACCTTCCCCATCCATCCCATCGAGGTTGATAACTCTCTCTGATAGGCGCGTCAGGAAACGCACATGAAAAACACGAAGCTCCCTTTCCACCAGTTGTACGATACTGGTTTGCATATGTTAAATCTCCGATCATTAGAATCATCGAAGGATCATTGTAAGTTAGATGATCAATAGTTGTCGAAGAATTGCTCGTAAGGCCCAAATCTCCAATAAGTGCTATTCTAGTAGGATAATTCTTTGGACTAGGTGTTTGAAAAGTCGCAAAAGAACTCTCTTGGCTCATGGCTTGAATGGAACTATCCCCACATTTATAGTAATATCTGGTTCCAGGTTCAAGACCTATACAAAAAGAGAAGTATCTCAGAACTATCCCCACTATTAGGATATTCAAAACTTTTACCTACTCGGAAGTAGGAACGCAAACACGGGCACCAGACATACCTATTCATAACCTATGAAATACGAACCCAGACACAGACACCAAACATACCTATTCATAATCTACGAAATACGGACACAGATACCGACACCAGACAAACCTATTCATAACCTATGAAGTACGGACACCAGACATGACATTGACACCAGTAATAATTGAAAAAGAAAATTGAACATAATCACAAGTGTCAGTGTCAGTATCGTGTCAGTGTCGGTCGAACAAAGACGCTCATTTTTCAAAGCTGTCGGTGCTACGGAGCTGATAACCAAAAACAATCAGCAGAAGCTTAAAATCAAAAGTAACACAAAAGCATACCTTCAAGTTTGACATGGTGAATAATCCCAGAAGTGTAATTCAAGAGTCCTTCAAATGGATACAACTGAGAGTAAACAAGTGAATCACCTTTACCTACACTTGTGTATTTTCCACTCTTTTTCCCATACCACACCTCACTTCTAACAGATGCAGGATCAAGTGGGGTCACATTCAGACCAATCTGTGCATTCCCTTATCCAAAACAAAAACAGTTTATGGCCTTAGAAAACAATAAAGATAAATAATTAAACTATTTTTTGTGTGAAAAATATGAATTAAGGAAAAAAAAGTAGTGAAGTACTATACCAGTAACCCAAGAAATCCACATAGAAGTTGGTGAAGAAACAGCAAGAGCAATTTGTTCAGGAAAATTCAAGCTGACATTCATTCTCAGCCTTGGATGAGTCATAGGCAGATCATCGCTGCCTCTTCGCAGCGATGAATCGAACCGACGAGTCGCCGGTTCAAACGGGCCATCAAGGGTGGTCGGAATGTGTTTCTTACTCACTGTCATGTTGATGGTGTTTGTCATCAAAACAATGATTGCTAGTGACATGCAACAAAAGGTGCATGTTTTCATTGAGTTGAACTGGAATTTGGATCCTCTTATGATGCAAACTGAATTCAAATGAATGAAATGTTTTTTGATTTTGTTTGTTTCTTGATGAGGATGTTGGAGCAAACAACATGTTGGTGTGTTCGATGACATGTCTATGTTAACATAAGTATCTACTTTGTAAACTTGGAATATGCTGTTTTTTTTCTATTATTTTAATATACAGTAATAAGTTGTATTTTATATTAATTTTTATTGTCTAATTAGCGATTAATTTAATAGTTTTGAATAAATATTTGTAGGATTACTTTTGATTTCTTTTAGTTTAGAAAATGATAGGCTTATATATAATTAGACTTTTGAACTAAAATTTGTTTTTATAGGAACTAAAATTTGTTTCAAATCACTTCAAAAAATTATGAATTTAATTTAGAAATCTACAAATTATCTGTTTTGGAACTTATTTACCTACATTTTAAATTTATTAACGTTGAATATTAGCACATATCAAATCATAATCATTTGATTATAATTTATCCAAGTGTTACCAAACGGTGATGTAAATATATTTATTATCTATTATTTTTTTATTTATTTAGATAGCAACGTTTATAGTCAATTATTTTTCTGTATATTAGCCAATTAGTATACAGTTTTATTCTATTGTATTCTATTTATACCTCACTTGTAATAGTTTCAATTATAATAAAATATACAACATATTTTTCATATTTCAATTACCCATGACAGATACTAAAGCAGAAAATTCAGCCAAAGCTTGGTTGAAGGACATTCTCTTTCTGATCACTAGTCACAAATTAAATGGACAGAATTACAATCAATGAGTGTGTTCATTCAAAATCTACCTTCAAGAAAAAGGGAAGGAAAGTTATATCACAGGAGACTCCAAGTGTCCAAAAATGGGGGATTCCAACCTCGAAAAATAACAACTAGAAAACGGTCTAGTAATGTCATGGCTGCTAAACACCATGACAAATGAAATTGGAGAAAATTTCGTGTATTATGACACTGCCAAAGAGATGTGGGATGGCACAACGAAAACCTACTCCAATATGGACAATACTTCTTCAATTTTTGAAATCAAGAGCATACTCCATGATTTACGTCAAGGTGACCTTTCTGTCATAGAGTATTTTAATACTCTCAATCGTCACTGGCAGCAACTAGATGTATATAATGTAGTTGAATGGAGCTGCATAGAGGATAAAAAAAAGTACAAAGAATTGGTGGAGAAAGATATAGTCTACAAATTTTTATTAGGTTTAAACACCAAAATTGATGAAGTTCGTGGGAGAATCCTTAAAACCAAACCTCTCTAAAATATTCGAGAAGCATTCTCGAAAATACGAAGAGACGAGAGCAGGAGAAAAGTGATGCTCGGAAAATCCAGTGTCGCCCCATCTATCGAAGGATCTGCAATGGCAGCAAGGGGAGATCAGCGTTCTTTCCGGAAAAAAAACTCGGCTTTAGTGTGACCACTACACGACTGGGTCACACCAAGGACACATGTCGAATCATTCACGGAAGGCCATCAGAGCTAAAATTGACCAAAAACCGGGATAATAGAGGGAATACAACTGAGGTAAATTTTCATGCATCACCATTCAACAAGAAACAGGTGGAAGCCTTACAAAAAATGCTTCAACAAACAATTGGTACAACCTCTGTGGCACAAAAATGTAATTTTTTGCATGCTCTAAACACTAGCAAGGGAAAACTAAATTCATGGATTATTGACTCAATAACATCTAATCACATGACTAGAGATTTGATTGTCTTTGGTAGTTATTTTCCATGTCAAACTAATTTGACTGTTCAAATTGTTGATGATACCCTTTCTAAGGTCGTGGGTTAAAGTTTTGTTTTTATTTCACAAAATATTACTCTTAAATCGGTACTTTATGTGCTTAAACTTGATTGTAACTTGTTGTCCATCAGTAAACTTACAAAGAATTTGAAGTGTATCACTAACTTCTTCCCTAACCTGTGTGAATTTCAGATTTTGGAGTCGGGGATGACGATTGGCAATGCTAAAGAATGTGTTGGACTCTATATCCTTCTGGTTGTAGCATCTAAACCAGAATTCGAGGCAACCTCTTACGCGGTAGTTTCTACATGTAGTGAAAGTTATGCAATGTTGTGGCACTATAGACTAGGCCACCCAAATTTTATGTACTTAGATAAAATGCTTCCAAAATTATTTAATAAGAATCAGAAGTTGTTTCAATGTGAAATTTGTCAATTGTCCAAATATACATGAAGCCTCCACCCACCCGACCCTATAAACCTTCCCAACCTTTTTATGTTATTCATAGTGATGTATGAGGACCATCGCAGGTCAGAAATGTAACTGGATCAAGATGGTTTATCACCTTTATTGATGATCACACACGAATCACTTAGGTCTACCTTATGAAAGACAAATCGAAAGTTTCTAGGATTTTTGAATGTTTCCATACCATGGTGCAAACACGGTTTCAAAGCAAAATTAGAGTGCTTAGGAGTGATAATGGTCGTGAGTACTATAATTATACAAGAAGCTCATACTTTTAGCAACATGGAATAATACACTAAACCTCATGTGTGGATACACCTCAGCAAAACAGGGTTGTCGAGAGAAAGAATAGACACCTCCTAGAAGCAACCTGGTCCCTCATGGTAGCTACAAATGTATCTAACCAATTTTTGGGAGAAGTCGTCCTTTCTGTAACCTACCTTATAAATATAATGTCTTCCTGAATCCTTAACATTCATAGGCATTACTCCACTCTCCAAACCTTATACCCAACCAATCGTATCATTACATCAATTCCTTTGAAAATATTTGGATGTACAACCTTTGTCCATAAGCTTGATCCCCAACGCAGTAAACTTGACCCAAAATCCATTAAATGCATATTCCTCAGCTACTCTCTTTACCAAAAGGGATACAAATGTCATTCACCTTAAAATAAAAAATTCTACCACACCATGGATGTAACCTTTTTTTTAGAATAAACCATATTACCTTAAAGTTGACATTCAGGGGGAGAACACTTATCGAATTGAAGTGGTAGAATCCCAACTTTTGGAACTTGAGCTAACTGAACCCAAACTCACCACAAAGGCATCAAAACCTACATTTGAACCAAATGAAAATGCAACAGAATCTGCAACGAAAACTACAAGAGACCTACGACAAAACTTACACATGGACCAGAAGAAACTATAAAAAAATACAGAGGAAATTGCAGCATAAACTGCAGTCCCTACAACAGGAACTGCACTAGGAAACAACTTGAAAGTCTACTCTAGGAAGAGCAAGAAGGGAATAAAGTCTCTCACAGCTCTAAGGCAGAACCAAGAAACCTCTGAGACTCTAGAAAATGGTGTTCCCTCGTGTAATTTTGCGCCTAACTCTGTGAATGTTGATGATATTAATATTCCTATTACTTTGAGAAAAAGTGTAAGATCTTGTACTAAACACCCCATTGAAAGATTTGTATCTTATAGAAAATTGTCACAAAGTTATAAAACTTTTGTAACATCTTTTGACAATACACATACTCCAAGCAACATTCATGAGGCACTCCAAAATCTTGAATGGGTAGCAGCCGTAATTGGAAAGGTTCAGGCCTTAGTTAAGAATGACACTTAGGAGATTACAAGCTTATCTGCAGGGAGAAGCTGGTAAGATGCAAATGGATATTTTCCATGAAATATAATGTGGATGGGAGTATAAATCGACACAAAGCTCGACTTGTAGCAAAAGGATTTACTCAATCATATGGAGTAAACTATGAAGAGACTTTTGTACCAGTGGCCAAACTAAATTCAGTCAAAGTTATACTCTCTTTGGCTCCAAATTTAGATTGCTCACTCCATCAACTAGACATCAATAATATCTTCCTAAATGGTGATCTATAAGAAAAAGTTTATATGCAGACTCCTCCAAGACTTGAATCATCCAATACCACATATATAGTGTGCAGGTTTTGAAAATCTCTTTATGGCCTCAAGCAGTCTCCAAAATCGTGGTTTGATAGATTAACTCGGGTTGTGAAGAAAGACGGGTTCAAGTAATGCCAATCAGACCATACTATGTTTTTTAAACACTCCATGGAAGGAAAGGTAGCTTTGTTAATTGTTTATCTTGATGATATCATTATTACAGAAAATGATTATGATCAAATTGATCATTTAAAGGGACTCATGGAAAAGGAATTTGAAATCGAGGACTTGGGAAAATTTAAATATTTTTTAGGGATGGAAGTTGCTCGAACAAAGAATGGTATTTATGTATCACAGACGAAATACACCCTTGAATTACTTCAAGAAACTAGAATGCTTAGATGCAAGGCAACTAATACACCCGTAGAACCAATAAAAGGAAGAGAAGATGAAAGTCCACCAGCTTATAGAGATAGATATCAAAATGTAGTTGGGAAACTAATCTACCTACATCACATTAGACCCAACATTGGGTTTGTTGTAAGCTATACTAGTAGCTACATGTCAAACCCAACTGAGTCTAACATGAAAATGGTGAATAGAAACCTCTAATACCTCAAAGGCACACCAGGCTAAGGCATCCACTTCAAGAGGAATTCAAACAGAGGCATTAAAGTATATACATATTCAGATTGGGCAAGATTCTCGGCAGATAGAAAATTGACTACAGGCTATAGTTCATTTGTGTGGGGGAGCCTAGTAATTTGGAGAAAGAAACAATCTATAGTGGCGAGGCGTAGTGCAGAAGTAGAATTTAGAGCTATGGTCATAGGTATTTGTTAAGGAATGTGGCTTAAGATGATTCTAGATGAAATTAAAATTGATGTGAACCATATTGTAAGGTTACTATGTCATAGAAAACAACTATAAACATTGCAAATAACCCATACCAACATGATAGAACCAAGCATGTGGAAATTGACCGACACTTCATTAAAGAAAAAATTGATCATGAGATTATAAGTATTAATCATGTCCTATCATATAAGAAAACTGCAAATATCTTAACCAAG